ATTAGGGAGTGGTCATTATTTATGGGGAGTGGGGGTGTTGGGATATGGGGAAAATAAGGATTGAAAACTTTTTTGACCCCCCTCCAGACTGAAGGCAAACTTGTTGTGTCTCCCCCCTCATAAAAGTAGAAACTTTTCTGACCCCCCCCCCCCAGTGTGGATTGAAAAATTAACAGCAATGAAACAGGTGTGCGTTGCAGGTTAGATATTAGGATAATCTGTTTAATCTAGCTCATGATGTTTTACCCTGGTGAATATGATTCAACCATATATGATTAAAAAATTTATATTATGTGTTACTACTTTGCAATGCAACATTTGTCCTACCATAACCCATGACCCGTCTTCATACAGCGAAATGATTTGAACACAGGTTTTTTTAAGAACTCGTCTGGGGGGTGGGCATCTACAAAAAGGGACCATACTATATTGAGTATGTAGAGATGACAGATGGTTGTTGGTGACAAAAAGTTTGGTGTGGTATCGTATGTACTAGTAGGGGGGTCTGGGGGTATTCTCCCTCAGAAAATGTTTTGTATTTTTCCACCCCTAGAACTGAAGCGTTACATTGCGCGTTGATAGAACGAATCTGATCAGTTAAGTCGTTAAGTGTACTTGCATGGTATGTTTTTGTAAATACCATAACTGGGTCACTCAGGGTAGAAAGCTTGTTAAACTTAGTGGACCCGACTCCCACGCTCGCGCAGTGGCGGCGCCAGGCCTCAGAATTTTTGGGGGGGGGCATTTGAGGGGCAAACTCATATTTTTGGGGGGCAAGATAGAATTTTTAAAAAGGTACTGCTATTTGCCCATGCCGTTGTCAAAGGACTTTTGTCCTCCCCCCCCCCTCCAGTAGATTCGCCCCCTCTCAAAAGGGGGCGATATTCCTAGGAATACCGCCCCTGGGGGACGAATATCCTAGGAATATTGCCCTCCCCAGAGGGGCGAATGCCCCAGGAATATCGCCCCCCCTTTAGGACATTCGCCCCCCATATATGCAATTTGGTTTATTCAAATAATTTCGTGATACTTTCATCTTATTAGTGCCTTAAGGTCCATACAGAACGGACGCTATTTGGCAACGCCACGCGAATTTTCAGTTTTCAATGACATTTAGCTTTAATATTTTTCATTGTTTTTCAAATATTCGGGACCACTTAGCAATTTTAGCTATTTGGTCTGCATACCTTGTAAATTTTTTTCCTTTGACGGTTTTATTTGTTTTTGAAAACTGAAAATTCGCGTCGCGTTGCCGAATCGCGTCCGGTTTGTGTGGGCCTTTACACATTTGAGAATTTAACTTTGCAAAACTAAAGCTTTTTTGTCTTTTTTGAAACGTATTATTGGAGTATTGGAAAGTTTTACCGTTCAGAGATTTACAAACTAATATTGAAACTGTTTCATGTATACGCGCATTCACTAATGAGTAATGACAACTTATAAGCCATACATTTTCCGATAACGACAAAACGCTTGTGCAGCCTTTAGTCGCTCTCAGTGACTAATAAATTTTTTTGAGGGGGGGGGGGGCAAAATGGGGGGGGGCAAATGCCCCCCATTTTGCCCCCCCCCCTCAAAAAAATTTATTAGTCACATGGTTGGCGCCAAGCAGGGAAATTTTGAAAATTTTGAGTCTCTAGATCGTTGGAAATAGCATTTTCAGAGTCTTCTTTTTTGCTATATGATTATAGAAATCAGAACTCTAGACATGGTATTTAAGTTCAAAAACTTTTATGACCCCCCGCTCGCTTTTCTTAACTCTCGCAACATTCCCGCGTGTTTGGATCAGGCCATCCAAACACGGAAACCATAAAGTAATTGTATAGTATCTCACGCTGCATTGCGAAATCATGTGGTACAAATGCTGTTTTTCATTGGACAATTTGAATTTGAGGTATAATATTACTTTAAAGCCAATATATCCGCAACCTTGAAACGTCTTGTAGCCATAGCAACGGCAGTTGCGTAACTTTTGTGAAGAAATTCGAACCTATTAGATGTTGTTTTACATTAGTGAGATACTTTTTGCATACTGAACTTTATGTAATAGATGAAAACGTTAGGTTACGCCA